GCCTGACACAACATCAAGTCATTATTCTTTTTTTTTTCAGTTGAAATATGTTAAGTTAGTGACTTTTCCTAAAATAAAGCAAGAAATACTATATAAACAAAAGTTACTAAATAGGTAAATATAAAAATAAATTATATTAATATAATTAATATATTGTAAAGAAATATATTAACATGTACTGCTTACTCTATATTATTAAAATTATCAATATAAAAAAATTTTAATTTCAAATAGGAATAAAAAGTATTGAAATTATAATTAATATATTTAATGTATATTTTTAAAATAAAAATAATATATATCTATATAATGTTCGAGAAGGGATGGGATGGGACATCTGAAGGGCAATCTTGTGTCTTGTCTCGTCCCGATTATTTTTAAGTTAGGACAAAACCCATCTCGATATGACTAAGACAAAATCAGGTCAATTGAGACGGGTACAAATTAAACACACCTAACATTTTGTTATTGTTTCTGGCTATCTAGTGATTATTATTTCGTGTTAATAGGAAAGATGAAAAAGAAAATAAATAATTAAAAAGCAGTATTTTCTACACCATTTTTCAAAAAGCTAGTGTAGAAAGTGCTTCCCCAATTTTTTTAAGTCTTCTTTAGAATAAATTTATACTTTGGACTTGTAATTGGTGTACAAAGTATTATTTTTACACCAGCTACAAAATTAGTATAAAAAATCAAGACTTCTAACATCCTATGTTTCTACAACAGTTCTGAAATTGATGCAAAAGATTATTTTTAATCAATATAAAAAGTGTTCTTTTATGTGTATCTATGCCCAAAAAAAATAATGGTGCCTGGCTTTTTGACCACATCTAATGTAAGAAGAATGCTTTTGTTTCTTGCTTTGCCACAAAACACACACACACACACACGAAAAGTCTTGCTCTTTCCCTTTTACTTTCTGAGCTAAACTGAAAATAATTCCTTCTCCGAACAACTTCAAATATTAGATTTACTTTTCTTGTGCTTTTTGACTTGAACTCCCAACAATTAGATGCATCAAAGGGCAAATATTAATTTGTAGTATTTCATTGTTACATTTGTACTAACTATCAATTTAGTTTTTAAATTTTAATTTTTATTCAACTCAGTCTCTTTTACATATTTTTTAAATTATCATATAAATTATTTAAGTTTTAAAACACAAATTAACTATTAAATAAATACTTAATGTATGAAATATGATGACCTAACACGTATATATAACTAAATGAAAACAAATTAACCATCAAATTAATTTAACTTTTATCAATATAATTCTTATATTGCATTTTGCTCCTTTAATTTTGAGTAAGTTAGTACATATGAAAAATAATTTCATCATTTTACTCCTTGTATTTATTAATATAAAAATTTGTATAAGCGTATCTCTCACTCATCATAAAGTGTTTTAATAATTTAAATTGGTTGTAAAAAGAAAAAATAATATATATTTTTATAAGAATGAACATTTTATTAATATGTATATTTTTTAAAAAAATTTGTTTATATCTTGAATTGGAGGGAGCATGTCATAACATTTTTTTATGAACAAAGCTAAACAAACCGGTTTTATAAGAGTCAGTCCAAACGCTATTTTACGGGGAAAAGAAAAACAAATTCTCCCTCTCTTCAAACCCAGCCCTCGAAATACCAGAAATGAACGGGTAACTCGGAAGGCACGGTTTGTATTGACAGGTCTAGTTGGCATGATCATATCCTTGTTGGAAAAGTCAGAACTCATGTGTCGCCTCATTGATTGGAGGATGAAACTAATTTCCTGAAATTTATATAATTAGAAGCAACTTTTATTTATTTGCATAGGCCTGTCATATTCAGTACTTGAGATGTGCCCAAGGCAGATTGCAAATCAAATCGCAATCATTGAGCACGATGGGACCATCCATATACATTTTAAGCGCCGGGCCAGTATTTCAGTTTTTAAAAAAATAAATCAAGCTTAAAAAAATTAACTTTTTTAAATCTAAAAATAAAAAGACCAATTCTTTAAAGTCAAAGCTAACCTTTTAAATTTTAATATATTTTTTAAAAAATAATATAAAAATATATATAAAAAAAAAACACTACATCATTTTAACTCAGGACTTACTCTCTAGTCCAAACAGTAAACACGCACATCATTATTTACTTACTTTGAATATTTTTGCATTCATTAAATAACTTGAAATTATAATTTTGTTTATTATTTATTGCAAATAATGAGAATAAAAAGGAAGATATGAAAAGCTTAACATATTTGTCATTGATGAGGATCTATAAGGAGAATGATTAAATCATATTGATGATGATGAAAATCATCAAAACTTAGCTAATGATGCTACCACTGTATAATTGATGTCGAAGTTGATTTTGGGATGTTATTTTTTTTATCAGACTTAAAATTTTTGTTGTGTGAATTGATTTTATTTTTTTTCCTAAACTTAATGTGATGTGTAATAACTTTGTTATGATTTTACATATATTTTTTTTTAAATTTTTAAATTAAAAATTTAAAAAAAATAAATAAGGCTGAAGCCCTGAGAGCCAACCTTTTAGCCCTAAGGGCCAAGGTCGGGCTACTAAAAATAGAGCCCTAAAGTGTAATCAGGTTTAAAAGGGTCAACCTATTTAGGCCTGGCCCTTGAAGGGTTGGCCTTTAAGGTCGGACTAGTCCTAATCGACACATCTAGCATTAGATGAAGCCATAGAGCTGAGAAACGGACACGCTCATGCTCTTATGAATTGAGTTTTATTTAAAAGGCTTAAGGTTAAACTTGTAAGTTTTATTTTAAATTTTTTAAAAAAATTAAACACTATTAATTAATTAAAATATTATAAAAATTTAAAAATAAAATTTTTATAATTTTTTAAAAATTAAACAACACATATTTAAAAATTTATTAATAAAATTTAAATATTGGTTAAAACATAGTTTATTTTTATAAATACATAAATATAATAATTATAAAAAATTTAAAGTGTAATTTCCCTAATCTTTCTTAAAACTCGTGGCTTGACTGTCTTTGTATTAATTTATATGGATGATATTTTAGTGACAGAAAATAACTTTATTTATTTAAAGGATTTCATTCAAAAACTGAATAATCAGTTTTCTTTGAAAGACCTTAGACATCTCCACTATTTTTCTGGGTGTTGAGGTGTTTAGAGATAATATTAGTTTATATATGAATCAAGGAAAATATACAACAGACCTGTTGAAAAGATTTAACATGTCAGACTGTACACTAATTCCTATGCCTATGGTTACAGGTTGAGAAGTATCCATCACTGATGGGGAACCTCTGCTCGTTCTGCCTCTGTATAGGAAAGCCACAGTGCTCCCTAATATTTTACCACCACAAAGCCAAATATAGCTTATTCTGTTAGTAAGCTAAGCTAGTATATGTCCCAACCTACAAACATATCTTATCAGGTAGTAAATTGAATCTTTAAATGTAGTACTATGGCCTTTAGCCCCCTCACAAGCCCACATGTTGGCACTGCATTTGCTAGTGTAAGGGATTGTAGGTCGTGCTGTTACACAAGATGAGACTTATTTTAATATAATTGGAACAATATCAAACTAATTAGGATAGATACAAACTGAACACTTTTATTAAACAAACAATTTCATAAACTCTTTTAAAAATAAATTTGAATCAAGTTATTCCCTTTGAACTTGAATTTCTCTCTTTATATTTTTTTTTGTCTTGTCAGCAACTCAGCGTGTTGTAGAAATTGTCAGAAATTGTTTGTTAAAATTATTAATAGAAAAAATTATGAATAACTCTCATACAGTAAACTTATTTATAATTAAATTTTACAAAATTTTAAAACTAGAGTCAAGTCTCATAAGATTTAAGTGTAATTTATAATTGAAGTATAACAATATTACTCCTATTAATTTGATTTTCATTTATAACTGCAACTTCACAATTTACAAATAAAATTTTATAATTTAAAAATTAAATTTTTTATTTAACACTTTATATAATGTGGAGTCTCTATATATGAAATTAATTATGTCTACTTGAAGTTGAGATGTAAAATTTATAATTCACCATGTAATTATAGCTTAAGGAAACATAATTAATTTTATAAAGACTTTATATTATATCAAATGTTAAATAAGAAATTTGACTCGTAAATTATGAAGTTTTTACTTGTAAATTGTGAATTTTGGTTGTGAAGTATAAAAGCCAAATTAACAGGGATAGTGTTGTTCTTATACTCCAATCATAAATTACACTCTAGTCACAAAGAACTTGACTATAGTTTTTAAATTTTATGAGATTCATTTGTAAATAATTATAATGTATGAGACCTATTCATAATTTTTCCTTATTAATATTTCAATATAACATGGCTAAAATTATTTGGTTTATTTTAATTTTTAAATTAATATATGAATATGACATAATTTGCTAAATTGTGTATTAATACATTTGAAAATTTAAATAAAAATAATTGCATATTTTATTTTAAGGTTTGCATTTTTATGATTATATTTTGTTGCTTATTATTATTCTTTGAACATTTAAATAAGATCCTTTGAAATTTGTACATTTTTAATAAAATAGTTATAAATTATTTAACTAATATAACGTGTATATATATTTAATAAGGATATTATTATTTTTTATTTTAATTTTAAATTACATTCAGTTTTTAAAAATTTAATCATGATTTTTGAATTGTACGGAATTTATTTGTAATATTGAGCTTGAATTGTTAAGGACCGAGCTCTAGAGCCAACCAATGTTGACGTGGAAACCCTATCTCGTGCGTGAAACTGATTGGATGGTGCGGATAGATACATACACAAGCCGCCGCAGGCTCCGTACAATGCGCGAAGGTGACAACTGGCTTCATTATGAATCCACGTCGCATTTTCATTTCAAGATTTTAGCTTTTAGCCACCACAACTGTCTCCGCGTCACACATTCACGCATTTAGCATTACTTCATTTCTTGCTAGAAACTTCCAATCTCACACACACACACACACACACACACACACATGTGATATTCGCCTCTCTAATATTATTATATCATCCCCGATAATTATCTTCCGTATATCTCTGCCATTACCTAAACAATCACAACCTTATCTTTATGAATCATTAACCACGACTCTGTTCTGTTCCTCTCTGATCTCTGACGATCTGTAGCCAAATATATGTGCGTACACCCACACACCTATAATTAAACTTTGTTACTTCATTTAACGTTAGGTTGGTGCAGTATCAAATCAAAAAATTAATGGGTGGGTTAGGATTTTATCAACCTGCGATGGCTATGATTGGCCTACAGTTCCATTATGCAGTTCTTGCCATGTTCACTCGTGCAGCTCTCTTGCATGGAATGAACACCAGAGTCTTTGTTGTGTACAGGCAAGCCATTGCCACTTTGGCATTGGCTCCATTTGCTTTATCCTGCAAAAGGTGCGTGTGCTTGTTCCGGTCCTTTTTATAAGTCACCTGATACGATGCATATATGTTTGATTCTCAGCTTTTATACTTATTTACTGTCCCATTGATGCATATATGTTTGTTCTGATATTGCTAGCAGGAGAGAATCTTTCAAGACTTCATTGGGATTGAGGAACTTGTCTTTGTTGTTTATCACCTCTTTAATTGGGTAAGATGTGCCAGATGAACAGCCTGCAAAGCTCTCCGATGACGACTTCTAGTGATATAACTACTATGGCTACTCTTTTAAGTAAACATGGTGTACTAGATGCGCACTTGATTTCATGTCATGGATTACATCAACTATAAAGAGATGATGCATAGGGAAATTTCTGCAGAAACATGTTAAACATATTTATATTCCAAAACAATTCTCCAGCAATACAGATGGTGTTTCTCTCCATGAGACTCCATCTGTATATGTTGGACCAAGGATCTCTGACCACTACTTGAGTTTTGATGATAACAAGAAACAATATTTAGACAAAAGTTCAATTAACTGGAAGCATGACTTTGTGTTGCAGAGTAACAGCAAATCAGAATGCATATTTTGAAGGTTTACATTTGTCATCTTCTACAGTGACTACAGCCATGAGTAATCTAATACCAGCATTAACCTTCGTTCTTGCAACAATTTTCGGGTAATTGCCTTTGTCCCTGTATATAAGTAAACAATCTTGAAAACACTTCATAAACAGAGGATTAATATATATATTTTTTTAATCTCTATCTGATGCTGTAAGTTTAACTGTGACTATTTGCCTTACTGTTAAATGGGTTAGGTTGGAGAAAATAGATGTAAGAAGCTTGAGAAGCTTAGCCAAAATAGCAGGAACAGTATTATGTGTTGGTGGAGCCATAACCATGGCTTTGCTCAAAGGACAGAAACTGTTAAACATGCAGTTTCTTCCTTCTAAGCAAGCCTTTGGCTTACAAGGTGACCATTGGCTGCTTGGGTGTGCATTTCTCTTGACAAGCAGTATTACTTGGTCATTTTGGATGATCATGCAGGTACATCTAGATAACTTGATTATTTGATTGGTGTGAGTACTTTGCATCAATATATATGCAAAGCTGAAGATTAATATTTGAAGCAGGTACCGGTATCTTCAAGTTGCCCAGACCATGTGCTTTCAACTTTTTGGATGTGTCTAATGGCCGCAATAGAGGCAGCCATATTTACTCTGGTTGTTGACAAAGATTCCCAAGCATGGAATCTAAATTCAACCTTAGAGTACTCAAGTTGCTTGTATGCAGTAAGTCCCAGGTTACTCCTACAAGATTAATAATATGCTCTTTTAAATCTGTTCAATTGACAGTAATTTAATCAACAGTAGAAACTGGTTTTTTTTTTTTTTTTCCCTTTTGGATTTATCAGGGAATTGGAATTGCTGTTAGTGTTTTCATTCAAAGCTGGACAATCTCAAAAAGAGGCCCTTTGTTTTGTGCAATGTTCAACCCTTTATGTACAGTCATCACTGCCATGGTTGCTGCTACTTTCCTACATGAAGAATTATATGTTGGAAGGTAATTAATTACTAACTAATGCACTTTTTGCTTAGTAGAAAGTTTCATTTCCAATCTGAACTGTGCAATGATTTATATCTGAATGGCTATTATTCTTTGTTTATTATCATCAGCTTGATAGGAGCTCTAGCAGTGATTAGTGGTTTGTACATAGTGCTGTGGGGTAAGGCTGAGGAGGTTGAAGGGATCAAGCAGGAGGCACAGCTGAACAGCACTGATCAGAATGATCAGATAAATTGTAAAACAGATTTGGAAGAAGCGCTTTTATCACATGTATCAGAGAGCAAGATCATTCCATGATTACCACCACTGTGGTTATATTTTGATCATTTGACCAAAATGAAAGTGATGAACAAGAGGCATAGTTCTTGAAACGGACAATGAAAATAAGTTCAGCTATATGTGCCTAAACAGTAGTTATTATGATATGTCTTGGTAACATTGGAATTTGCATAAAATCTACCCTTAATGAGACATCAATGGTATATGACATAAATCGGGTAATAATGAGTTAATTGGAATCTGAAATTAATTTAAATAATTTCTGATTGAATTCTAGAAGAAAAAGTAATTTTGGTGATTATTCCAATCAATTTATTCCCTCCATAATGAAACGAATTATTACTGATTGGATTTTCTTTTTCGAAGGTGGCCTCCCTCTACTATAAGTAAAGACAGATGATTGGAGGTAGAATACATCCCAAAACAAGCAGTTCTTTAGTTTATTCTTCCTTTCCCTCACCTTCTTTCTTTAGTGCATCTGCTATATACGATAGTCTAGACTTACTAGTCTAAACTTGTATTGATAGTTGGATAGATTCTACTTCGCCCGGATCTAGTGAGACTCTAACTTGGCTCATTTATTCGGTGTATTATTCTTTTAATATTCCTTTAAGTAAGAAAAAGGATATTCCCAATTTTAATAAGGTTATATTATACCATACATTTAAGCCAGTTCAGGCTAACATAAGTGATCAAAATGAGATGAGTGAAGTCTAAGGCTCAAACTCTCCTGACGTGGGAATTGCTCTTTATCCTTCTCTTTCTTTCTTTTTCTTTCTTTGTTTTTTTTTTTTTTTCAATTCCATTACCTGTATTCTAGAAAACATGGGATTGAATTTCAGAGCCCATTACAGTGATAAGCATCATGTGACGAGATTTGAATCATCTAAATTTTAATTTGAATAAAATTTGAATGATTTAAATTTAAAGTATTATTATACATTTTTATTTTATATTTATTAAAATAAAAATTTGTAAAAATTATAAAATAAATTTAATAATTTTTTATTTTCAATCTAATCTAGATTAGCACTAGATTAAATATGGACTGTATGGTATATCTAGACAGTCAACCAATGTATAACAATTATAAAAATTTTAATATTAAATTAGACCTTTTAAATTAAATCTAAACCAAATTGAAAATAAAATTATTAAAATTATTTGTAATTTTTATAAATTATTATTTTAATAAATATAAAATAAAAATATATAATAATATTTTAAATTTGTATCATTTAAATTTTTAGCTCAGATCTCATTCGTGCTATCACTATGATAAGCACGGAAGACGAACCGGAGACATGGGGCTATCTGTCAATGATATTTCAAATATTGGTGGGACCATTGGTGGGACCCAAGAAAGACATGTGGTTTGGGATCATTCAAGGAGAGTGGCGGCGCTGGTAGCGCTCTGCTGCTTTGAACGATGCTTTTAAAAATAACAAATGAGAGAAAATTTAATATTATAAATGAGAGAGAGCGTAAAGTGACTTGAGTCTCCTCCCTTCTGATGTATTTCTTTCCCTTTCCTTTTTCTAATTTTCCTTTTCCTTCAACTCTGTAATTATGCCTTCTTTGCTTATTTCCCTTCTGTTATCATCTTCTTTTTATCCTACACTGCTATCAAAAGTATTTATATATATTTTTTCATATGGTTAATTTAATTCCAATAATATTATCACCTCTCATTTAAATTAATTTAAACTCTCACCATGTGAGATCGTTATTATCAATTATATGACCTCATGAGTATTTCAAAATATTTTAAATATATTTATTTAATATGATTGTATATTAGTAGGATGGAATTCAAAACTTTAAAATAAGCCGGTTTAACTCGTTTGATCAGTTTATCAGTGTTTAAAAGAAAAGGAAAAGATGCTTGGCGTTTCCATTAAAAACCACTAGTGGATGCAAATTTCAATTTTTAAAAAACTTTTTGAAACTGTAATTTTCAATGTATCGATACTTTTGCGACATTTCTTTTTCAAACTAAATGCTGCTAAAAGCAGCTTTTTTAGAAGCTGAAAATTAAAAGAACAAATCCCAGCTGTTAAAGTATCAAAAACATTATAATAAGACATGAATTTCATAGATTTTTTTTAATATTTAAATGGAGAATTTAACCTAAATTTAAATTTAAATTCAAATCTAAATTTAAAATTTCATAAATGCAAACGTAACATAGTTTTGTAGTATATTTTACAAATTTTATAAATTTAAATGTTATTCTTAAATTTTAAATACCCATATTTAATAAATGCTTAAAATTATCTTCGGTGGAATTTTTTTTTTTTTTGGGACAGCATTTCCCTTTGAGTGCTCATTCATGATTCAAGTTATCAATTGTTAATTGTTGTAATTATAGTACTAGACTGGGGTCCTCATATTCGATGACATTTGATGTAAAAGGCTACTGTTTACAACTTTGAGTTTTGAATAGTATACTTTTCCATAAATTTTATAAGATCCTAGTATATGTTAGTTCAGGTAAAAAAAAAAAAAGTACATATTAGTCACTTACTCCTATTTAAAGTGTCTTTGATTAATATTTGTAGGCCTCTTATCTATGCTTAAAAAGTATTTCATAATCATAGAATTTTTTAAATTGAAATTTCAAATTAAAAATATATTTAGCATTTTTAGCAAAATATTTAGCAAGTTCATCTAATTAATTAATTGAAAAAATCATCCAAAAAACTTACTATATATTCTATCTTATTTATAAGGCATTTTTAAAAAGTGTTTCGATCCTTTTTTTAAGTCCCACCTCATAGGCTCGTTGAAGTATTAGTTTTTTTTTCCCACCAGAGGCCTATATTGAAAACTATAATGTGGAATAATAAGAGATAGTAAAAAAATTTTATATACTCCAAATGATCTTAAACGTAAAACCTAGTTGAGAGATTTCTTTTGATTATAGACATATAAATTTAATTTTTTTTCATGTGTAAGTTAGTTAAAAGTAACTAACATTGAATATTAGAGAAAGGATAACAAAAATTTGAATGAGCTGATTATTACTCGTTAGAATCATCTTCCTCCTCTTCTTTCCTCCGAAATTAATTAGAGGATTAAGTTTTCTGTACATCACACAAATCTTAAATCTAGTTATAGTGTAAGGTCTTAATTGCATTAATATTTTAGTTGGAAGGATTCTTATTTTTAATTTTTACAAATTAAAATGATGCCGGGAAAAGGAAATATTTCAACTCCTCAGAAGATGGTGAAAATGAAGTAGTACTAGAAACACACAAATTGTTGGAAAAAATAAAACATATAAACACAAAAAAAAAAAATGTTAGAGCGATCATAAATACAATGTGGGCCATAATATGCTCCAATGATACCTGCTACTCATAATCAAAAATGAGGCAACCTGTGCCACAAGCTTCATTGTTCATACCATACCACTAGGATGAGTAAAGACAAACTTGAATTAGTATCAATTCAAAGTGTTACTTGTTTTGTGTTCATCACTCTCTCACAATTAGCATGGATAGGTTACAACCAATTCTGTTACTTTTGACAGCAATATAGAATGGTCATTCAGATTGAAAAAGGTTGAGTTTGGTAAACAGATCCTATGTTTATTAGTTATTTGTTACAGACATCAATTTTTAATGGCCTTATTTTCAGGAAGGTTTTCACTCATTTTAGTGGATACACTCTTATTGCATGGGCTATGAATTTTCTCTCGAAAATGTTATGGTCTTTTGTCTGAAAAAGAAATTCATAAGTCTAGACATTCTCAACATGCAATATGCTGATACAGTATTAATGCATCTCATTTCCTTGCTAGTGATTTTCAATACAGCTGATACTTTGTAATTCAAGAAAACCTCTCTATTTTGTATTTAGTTTTTCTCCTTGAATGTGTTTTAATGCTTTGAATGTATGACTTTTTATTGTATATTTGGTACCCTTTTAATATTTATAATGTTTAATCTTTTATTTTTAAAAACAGTGTAGATTGGTCGTATACTTCTTTCTTCTTTACTCTCTCCCTTTAAAGCCTTCAAAAAAAAGAATATGTTTTATGAAAACAATTAATTAGACATGTGAAGTTTTCCCAGAAGAATCATGATTTTCATAAAGGCAATTCAAGATCCTCCTTGGATTACTTGTAGATTAACAATGCAGATGCAAATCAAATGCAAGATGCCAAGCTCTGCAGAGCTATCAAATTAAGTAGAGAACGAGGGAAAAAAGGGATCAAGACTGCACACCAAAGTAACACTGGGAAATGTAATACAAGATTGAGCAATTTACAGCAAACATAGCATGTTACATTATTGCTAGCAACGGAGAAACTACATGATCCATCTAAATGCTAATTACGTTCATTTATTCTGATTCTTCTCAGCCTAAGATCACTTCCAACCGTCCCTCCTGGTATTTCTGAATGCGCAGCACCCTATTGAGTACACAATGATCAAGAAGATGATGAATATTATGTTGATCTTAGCCGTCTTCTTCCAATTAGTCTTAATGTCTTGCACTATCCCAGCCTTGCATGCATTACAGTCGTAGCACAGGACATTTGGATCATTGCTCCAAGCACCACAATCAGGGTTGGTATAATTTGCAGTTTCCGTCTTGTTCCACACTGTTGGGCTCCGGTATACGAAGTTACAGTCGTTTGATGGCTTGCAACATCCAGACTGTACACAAGAACCAAACATGTCAACATCAGAAAGTGTCCAGTGTTCCCTGAGATCTTCAAATACGTAAAATTCTAGCACTGGTAAACTGGTTTACAATCTAAACTAAGCGCTAGTTTCATCCTATGTTCAAGTTTCCGAGCAAAAGGACCATACAAGTTTCGTCAGACCATTTGAACATTACATACTAGCACAACAGCTAGAACTTTTTTCTCATAATAAGCAATTTATTCACAATTAACATGCCAAAATTATAAGCAATTACAATAAGCTGCACTCAGCTTTTGTGAACCTTGTTACTTATTTGCAGTTCCAAATGGTTTATGCAACATTTGTTCAAATTAACATTAGAGTGCAAGCCATGATCCATTTCCAAAACTGGAATTTCAACTCTTACAAAGTACTCAAAGATGATCAGTCGCACAAACAATTCAGTGCCTGTTTTTCAACGTTAGTGAGGTATGCAAGCAAGAATTAGACATACCAGCATCCATGGACTTATCGCTGAATGTTACTTTAAAATCCTGATCAGTGGTATAACTTAGGATACCAGCTCAAAACAGCAATTGTTAGAAACCGAAGGCAGCCTCTCTAGATTTTATAGATGATCTCTTTTGTCAGCTGATGCAACACACTTATTGGCAAAAAAAAAAGGCCCAAGAATAGGAACCAAATAGAACAAAGTTTTTTCACTGCGGCACTGGCATCCATAACCCAGGAAAAAAGTAACACGTCAAAAATCAGACCAAAAATGCATCGGAAATTACATGATATAATAAAGACATGTGTTTTACTTTTCAGACTGGAGCCAGACCAACTCAAAAAAGACCATCTTTTGTTTTTTTTTTTTTTGGGGGGGGGGGGGGGGTTGGGATTAAGGGGGGTAAAGACATCTTTCAAAAAGGACCTTGGACGCCTAGAAGAAGATATATAAAATAGGACTCTAATCTACAGTCAACATGGTCACAATTTTGACCTGACGTAGGTTCGGCTTTTCCAGAAATTTCTGGGATTTAAAAATTCACTGTCTTCTTGGGCTGAGCACACTGAAAGTAAAAGAGAATTTAGAAAGGAAAAGAAAAGGCCCGCCCCGGGGGGGGGGGGGCGGTGGGGTTGAAGTTTTATCCTCTCATAGTCGTCTTTTGAGAAAATTAAAATACCACACGAAATAATAAATTTGAAAATCGGAAAACACCAGTCGTATTCAACTTAGAGTTCAGACAACGAAGACATTCAATTCAAATAAAAAAAAAAACCATTAAGTAGAGCTTGCTCCAACCATGACCGGAAATGTAAAGAACGTTAATACGGTATGTGAATTTTGATTCAGATCTACAGAGTCACAGAACACGTTCAATTACCCAAATTGAGGCAAAAATCTAAGATAAAAACGTAACCACAGTCCACAGATCAAAACCAGAGAAGCAGCTGATATAGAAGGACGAAATTAACGTTACCTGAACCGGTGTTAATTTCTCTGAACTGAACCTGTTGGCATCGTCTTTGGCATACAGCTTTTGGTAGTCGGAGCAGTATTGCCCGGCCCGAAGACAGCTCTTCATCGTATTCCAGTATTTGGAGTCGTTCACTCTCTTCTGCAACCAGTGAGAGTAATCACCGAGCCTATACTCCTTATACCCTTTGCCGGATAAAACTTCCCCGGCGCCTTTGTTGGTAACAACGAAGGCGAAGATAGTGGAGACAAGTACGGCAATGATGAGCAGGAACATGACGATAAGGTAAATCCAGAGGAGCAAGGAGACACGGCAGCAAGCGCCGACCAGGCCAGCCAGCGACACCAAGAGAAGGAAGACGCCCAACACAATGAAGATCTTGTCGAGCAATTTTTCACACTCGGTGGCGCCATGTTTGCTAAGCCAAATACCGAGCCAAAGAATGGGAATGGATAAGAGGAAAGTCAGGAAATTGAGGATCCCAATCACAGTATTGCTCAAGTGAAACATGTTGTGAGGATTTCAGAGGGAGGGGAAAAAACCAACAGAAGGGCTAGAGAGTGTGTATGAAGTTGTTGAAAGCACAAAAAGTAAGGAAGAAGGGGAAAGGACATGGAGGAGATTCGACGGTCACGCGCTTCACTGGAATTATTGGTACGGAAGGACACGAGGCATCAAATGGTGTGCGAATTTTGAAAGAGAGAGGGTCGCGAGTAGTGTGCTAATTGATATTAAGCCCGCCGTTTTAGCGCGTTATATAGTGATGAGTTCTGATACTGTAACAGTTACGTATCATCGTTGGATTAAACGCAGGGGATCACTGACGACTTATGAACAATTCGGCCTCCGGCTTACTTCATATATAGTGATAGACATATTATATATATTCTTTTTTTTTTTTGGATAATTACATTGAGAGAGAATTTATAACATAAAAGGTCTAATCCTTTCTGAAATTGCATGCGAGGTAAATGTTCTGAAATTGCGGCTGGCAACACTGGTCAACCTGCTAGCGGCCCGTTTTTAAAAAAATAAAAATAAACAAGTTCATTTAGATAATTAACCTCTAAAATTTAATTACATTTAAAGGCTTTTGGCCCTGCCTGCAAATTCTGAATGCATTGGACCTTTCATGTTATAAATTCTTATGCAGGGGCCCTCAATGCAATTCTTCCCATTATTATTTTTTTCATGTATCAATATAGTTGAGATTGAAAATATGGATGAATGGGGATTATACGGGTTGAGATGTGCATAACCTATTTTTATATGAGTTGTAAAATTTCCAATCAATCTTTTAAATGGATCAATTCACTAATTCATTTAACTTTTTTGTTCATATTTTCTAAAACAATTACACCTAAATGATTTCAAAAAAGCACAACCCTTCTGAACTAATATATGGCTTGGAGTGATGAATCGTGAGGATTGACTAAGTTTTGAGAGTGAGTAGTGATTAGTATGGAATGTGGATTGAGGAGTGACATGATTTGAATATAACAAGTGGTACAAATCAACTAACTCAATAAATATATTATATCATTATCAACCACTCAATTTAATCGAATGATTATCAAAAATTTTGTGATATTATACTTGAAAAATACTAAATTTCAAATTTTTTGAAAGAACAATAGAACCTAATGAGTAATGGCTATTCTAATTATGAGTGTTGTTTTAAAATTTTAAATAAAAATATACCTTAATAATTTTTAAATATTGATAAAATTCAATAATCACTCATTGAATGAATGAATTTAAACTACTCATCAAATTCAAATCCAATTACTGTAATTAAATAAGACATTGAGACTGAGTAGAATGGGATGAGATGGGTTGGAGGAGTACATTACATTTTTATCTATATCAATCTGTTTATTTGTGTCATTTTTTTCCTACACCGATAGAGTTATTTGAGTAAATCTATATGAGCATACCAATATTTCTAATGGGAAAATTTCAAGTGGGGACCTTTGACCAAACATATTAAAAAAAAGAACCCTAGAATTTATGAAATTTCATTATAGAACCTCGTACAAAATTGAAATTAAATTTGTGACGAAAATGATGAAATTTTCCTCATTTAAATGAATAATATACTGTAGCTAAGACGACTTGTTCATTCACATATTATAAATTATTCATTTACTTATGAAATATTATTAATTACCTAACATCACTTGTTTATAGTCTCAATTTTATTTGATTTTATTTTAAGTATTGATTTTATGATAAAATAACTTGTTGGTTTTCATATTGTATGTTATTTATTTACATACGAAATGTTGTTCGTTTTTATACTTCACTTGTTTATAACCCTTGGAATGAAATCAAGTAAAAGTAGGATTATAAACAAGTAAAATAAAAAAATAAACAACATTCTCTAAGTAAATGAATAATATATAATATGAAAATGAATAAGTCATCTTACCTATAATATGTTGTTCATTTAAATGAAAACAATTTAGCTATTTTTATTATAAATTTAATTTTAATTTCATATGAGGTCTTGTGGTGAAATTTCAAAAATTTTGGAGTTTTTTTTTTAATATATTTGGTCAAAGATACCTCACTGCAATTTTCTATTTTCTAATTCTAGCTACTATGGAGTGTGGAGACGTATGCACGTTTTTTTCTTTTTTCTTTTTTCTTTTTTTACCAACTTTGATTTTGCATTGGGCAAGTGATTATAACGCAGGCCATGAAATAATCTGCGGAACTGCGAGATATTTCTAGAGGGACCAAATCTCCCTGTATAGGCATGTTTTTTTTTTTTTTTAATCCTCTTTGTTTCATTTAATTTTAATATCCTGTACATTTTTCTGTCAATCACTGAGAGAATAAAAAGTTTCACATCACCTTTCTATGCCAAACAATAAAATAAATGTCCTTTTATAAGCCACCGGATACAATATTCTGCTTGTCATGGATCTCATTCTCTCAAATATTGTACCACCTGCGTTTACTTTTATTGGATCTCATTCCTCTTGTTTGGATTTCAATTGACATAAATTGATTATATTCTTTATGTTTTATTTTTAAGAATTAAATGTTAACAAATATAAAATATTTTTATTTTTAATATTTTAAGATATAATTAATATATTTTGTTAAAAGTGTACATAATAAATAAATTATTTTATAATTATTTTAATATAAAATACTGTATTAAGTAAAAACAAATATGGAAAGATGGTACTCTTTTCATTCTTATATATATAATGTTTTATAGAATTTTTTTTGTCTATAAATATAAAAGATTGTTGGTATGTTTTTTTAATAAATGAACTATTATACCCTTATTAAATTAGAAAAAGAAAAAGATAAGTACTCTCATTAATTTACTTTAAAAAATATATTTATTTTTTATTTATAATATTAGGGGCAAGATTAAAATATTACTGTACTTTTAATTAGATAACTAACTTTTATTAATTTACATGATTCAATTAAAAATATCTTATATATAGGGACAGAAAGAGTATTAGTTTAAACACAATTAATTATTTTATTAGATGTGAGACTAGGTTAAAAATATTTTATATTTTTGACAAAAGAAGTAGAAAAATTGATTTAATAAAACGTGATGATGTTTTGATAGTATTTTTTTGAAATTGATTTTAATAATTAAATATGTTTGGATAATTTTTCAGAATCAATTATAAAGATGGAAAGTATAAGAAATGCTCAAATACTTAGAATTAATTCTCAAATGGAGAAAAAAATAACTTATATCAAATGGAGTTTCAAAAGGCAAATAAAATTTGAAAAAGTTGAAGATGTTTAGATAAGATTTTTCAAAAACTACTATAACTTAGGACCCAGAATTGATTCTACAAGTGTCTCCAAACAGGCCAAAAAGAACTAGTTTTTATAAAATGATAAACAAGGAATATTGCATATTAATCAATTAATTATTGGCCAAAGAAATCAATTTATTACTTATTTAAAAAATTAGGTAAACTTAGTTTTGAGAGGTCATAGTAATTAACTAATTATCCCAATCGAGCATATGTACCTTGGGAGGATATATATATATATATATATATTTTATCGTGGAAATGATGACACGGATCAATTTGGTGCACATAGGTGAAGTAATATAAATTAAAAGGTCGACATTTTAATATTTTAGGTAGATTCTAAACATGCAGATTCTTGATGGTGATTAGCTTGCTTAAAATTTGGAATGAGCTTATTGATAGTTATATTGATAAATGTTATTGTATATTTCATTTTATTTATCTTGAAGGTGTAGTGGTGAGCGCAGAATCCCAAACCAATGGAGGCATTAGATGTAAAAATAATTTAAAAAAATTAACATATTCTTATTTTCAATAAAAATAATATAACTTTATATACCAAAACATAATAATTTAAATTTAAATTTAATAGTCTTAGAATTTAAAATCTATTAGGTTTAAATGACATATCAAAGAGTTAATTTTAGAATTCAAATATACTTTATTTTTAGTCTAGTGGGTTCAAAATTATATTGGGATATGGTAGGTGCAAATTTTCAAAAATTACAATGCATACTTGTGAGATAATTTTAAAATTTAGTAGAAGTATTTGCCTACCCTCAATTATATGTAGATCTGCTAGTGCTTTAAAATTGACCAATTTTTCATGATAGATTGGCAATTAAATGAGTGCATGGTTAAAGTGATTGAATCTTTTACAAGATGTTATTTGCATTTTTTTTTTCAAGAATACCAAGAAATAACATTGAAAAATATTTTTTAGAAAGAAAATAAGAAATATACCTAGAAAAAATAATAGGATATGTACACATTTCTCATTTCTTTTCTAGAAAACACGCTTCACCCCGCCAAATATTACACTAGTGTTTGAATAATGTTCTATATATATGTTACTAGTAACAATCATTTTTATTACAAAGGTAGCCAATGTAATGATGTAAGAAAAACAAATTAGATCATATTAGTTAACATCAAGTTTCCACACCCTAAGGGTGGAGCATTGTAGATGGTGGCATCAAAATTTTCTTAGCAAGCTTGATGGGTTATCCGATAATATCCACACAGGTGTTATATAATTCTCTGGAAAAAAAAAAAAACATAGTTGATTTTATGACAATCCAATTGCACATAATGAGATCCTTAATGTTTGTGATATGTATGTTTGATAAGTGGGTGATTTTCCAAGTGCTTGTTCTTGATAAGGGAGATTGTGTCAGCCAAGTCACAATAAAAATTGACTCTTGGGCGTTTCTCCTTCCAACAAATAGAAAGACCTTCTTTGATAGTTTGGATTTCAATTGTTATGCTTGAGTGAAATTCAAGGTATTTAGCGAAACCTTTAATCCTATTGTTAGAAAAGGTGTGAGAAATGTAATTAGAAACAATAATGGGATATGTACAACCTTTAATCCAGCAGATTGGAGCAAAAAATTTGTGCTTGGAAATTTCGCTAGCACTGGAGCTCGCTGCCTTATTCACTTCCGGTAACAATCTTCTTACTTAAATAATTTTCAAGCACATCCATACGCTATTTCCCAGATATAAAGCTAATCCCTGTAGGTTTTTTTATAATGGTAATCACTGTAGTTTTATTCGATGGAATATAGTCTTTTAGACAGTGTGCGTAATATGTAGTTATGTACAAATCATTTTTGCTTTTGGTGTTCACATTCAGAGTTTTCCCTTTAATTAAAAAAAAGAAAGAAAGAAAGAAAGAAGGGAACGTTATAATTAGAGATCTCATAAGAACAT